GTGGTGGGCACGGGGTGCAAATACCCACTCGTGTAGTGATTTGAACCTATAACCCCTAAAACAAACACAATGATATAAACCAACTTGACCTCAGTAAACATAATGGAGAAAAAATTTTATTAAAAAAATATGTATTTCTCAATGGCATTCAGGCCCAGCCTTTATGCAGGACCTGCAGACCCTGGGCTGAGCGGGAGGGCCCTGTCAGCTTTGACTTCAGCTTCTGGCTGTCCAGGCAGGCAGGAGACCCTCAGCGTGGGGTAGATCATCCTCTTGGTACACAGGCAGGTAGCAGTGGAGTCAGCACCCCCAGACCTTGGACGGACAGATGTGTAGATTCTGAGAGAGCTGTCTGAGATGCTAAGGGGCATTTTCCTAACATGCCCATCTGTGGAATTCAGATGTCATTTATTAGTTAGAACAAAGTTACTTCCCCTCCTTTTCATATCATCCCCCACACGACCCCCTCCCTACCCCACTCTTCTTTTCAAATTGTGCCTCTGTGCGTCAACAGGGAATAAAAGTGGGCAATAAAAGGGATTGCCCAATAAAACGGACACTCCCTTGAGGCCACCCAAACTAGCCTCCCTTAAATTTGAATTATCCTGTTGTGAGGATGAGATATTTTGTGTCCTCCTCAGCCTCAATTTAGGCGGAGATGTCAAAGAGATGGTTTGAGTCTTCTGTCTACAAAATGAAAAACACAAAGGGGACTGTACTGCTTTGTGTAGACACAAATATCACACAGTGGAAGGGCTTGGTGAGGGAGCTTCATGTGTTCATAATAATCCCAAAGTCATAGAATGGTGGGCTGGCTCAATAATCCAGTTCTAGGAACAAAGAAGAGAATATTTTTTTTTTAAAAGATTTAATTATTTATTTATACAAGCACTGGGTACGGTCAGAAGCACGGGAGGGTGAGAGAATTCACCAGAGCCAGAGCAGGGAACAGAACAGGCAGACTAACGAAGTACACTGCTGAGGGGAGCAGCGGGCGCGGCAGGAGAGGTCTATGGGCCATGTGGGACCCTCCCCCGTGGCCGGGAGTCGAACCGGAGCTGCAGAGGCTGCAGGCAGCTTTGCAGCACAGCGCTCAACCGCTGCGCCACCGGGGAGGCCCAAAGAAGAGAATTTTTCCTTTTTGAGGCCAGACCAACCTAGTCTGAGTCTGTGAAGACCTTGGTGCCATTAGAACAGTGTTTATAGAAATCATCATTTCAGTGGCTGTAATTGTCTCAGGCAAAGGGCTCTATTCAGCAGCAAAAACTTTCATTTATCCCTTTTACATGAAAAACCTCTAGAGCCAGGGTTCATTTACCTCCACAAAATAGGTCAAGTGAATTCTTACAAAGCCAGGCAATTAGGCAATATTTCCAGGGGCCTCTGGCCAGTATTTCTCTGGGGAAAGAAAAAATTAAAATATCAGTGGCCTCAAACATTCTATTTCCCTCTGGGTAGACAGACATTATTAAGCATGAACTTCAACTAGACATCTGGGACACAGTGACCGGAGAGCATTTATAGCAATTGCAACAGCGAGTGCCCCGTTCCCAGCCCCTGCCCTAACCCCACCAGCCCCACTGAGCCCAAGGCTAGGGAGCCGAGAGTGAACTCTGAAAATAGCACAAGCCCAGTAATAATAATAATTATGATGATGATGTTACCATTGTCTCCTTTTTACAATGTGCTTAAGAAGCCACAGAGGCTGTTATTCAATAGCAACCTCCAGATAATATGGCACTTGCATTCCTGCCCAAAAGACAGCTATTGTGAACCTGGGTCACTTCTGGAATGTACTCTTTCCATCGAGAAGACAAAAATGCCCAACTGCATTCTCATTACCCATCAGTGACTCCAGGCCAAAGGGAAACAACCGGGTAAAAATGATGGATCAGATGAGGGAAAATGAAAATTCATCCTGGGAGATGAGTTTGCAAAGCTTATTAGAGAAAGCAGGAGCTCCTTAGGAATGAAATTGTAAAAGTACTCTGAATGCACAGTGCAAAATGAATTTTCTTGGAAGGGCAATTAGATGGTTTCAGCATTTATGTGAATTTAATGCCCCGTAGAATATCCTGGATACAGAGGAGGCATGAGGTGGAGAGTCCAAGAAAAATAAAACCAGAGTTTATTCTTATGACCATGCTCAGCTAAGGATATTAATTAATTTATACTGAAAATGAGCGAGCAATTCAGATCAGAAATTTGAGGATCATTTGCAGCTTATTGTCTATAATGTTCAAAGCCTCTATAGGGAATTCTCTGCACAGCTCACATTCCAGGCAATGGATTCATGGGTCTTTAAGTCCTGTGTTTTTAGAGGCTCAGACTTTCAAAACCCTTGGGTGGTTGTAGGCAAGTTGACTCCTTTAAGGGAATCTACTTCACTATTAAGACTAGATTCTGGTGCTCCTGGTGGCCTAGGGGTTAACATCTCAGCCCTATCACTCCTGCAGCCTGAGGTCAATCCCCAGCCAGGGAGTTAACCCACATACAGTGCAGCAGATCTCTCCTGTCTCGCCAGCTACTCCCCTTGGCAATGTATCTCAGTAGAGCCACCTGTTCTACTCCCACTTGGTTTCTGGCGAGTCCTCTCACCCTCCACATCTCTGGCCACACCCCAATTCTTCCATGCAAAAAAGAAATTTAAAAAGAGGACTGGATTCTGGATCCCACCTGGGGTAGATCAGCGAGGTGAGCAGCTGCTCAGGAGGTACTACTTGCCCCGTTAACCCTACACTTCTCTCTTCCAGATGGTTCTTGCTTCCAATGAGTTTTTTCTCTCTTTGCATCTGTCAAGACCCCAGCCATCCTCAACTCCTGCTTCCTGGGCATCTCCAGCCTGCATCTGACTCTCTCTTCTCTAACTCCTCATCCTGCCACATAGCTGAGCACTTACTGGGTGGTGATCATTTTATGTGAGTTAGTATTGTCTCATCTTTGGGTCTGTAAACTCTAGAGGTTAGGACTATATATTTCTGTGGTTGCATTTTTGTTAATATTCATTAGTAACACAGAACCTACTGTGAACCAAACACCCCATCTTATCTCTAACTGCCACGTTGAGAATTCTGGGTGAGTGGCTGAGTACAGCCCAACTCATCAAAGCCCTGTTTTCTCCTCATCTGTGAGAAGGAAAAAGACAGGAGACCTTCTGCTGATGCACCAGACCCCACCCAGCAGCCTTCTGTCTGAAGATTCTTACTTCTGATCATAAAAGGACAGATGAGAACCCACGCCAAGATTGCCAAACAAATGTCCAAGCTCAGACTACTTTCCCTGTTGGCCCTTTAAATTTTCCCTAGGGTCCTCCCTGGTGGCACAGGGGTTAAAGACACTGCTATGGCCAGCACTGCCAGGGAGCAACCCACATGGCACAGCAGACCTCTCCTTTATTGTCTGCTGCGCCCCTCAGCAGTGTATTGCAGTAGATCTGCCTGTTCTGCTCCCCACTCTGTCTCTGGTGAATCCTCTCACTCCCAGCACCTCTGGCCTACACCCCAGTTCTTCTGTGCATAAATAAATAACTCTTAAAAATAATATATGTTCCCTATTTCCTCACCCCGGTGGAACAACCCCTGGGATGGTCCCCTGCTTGTGGACCTGCAACATGAATCTCTAGTCTTGAATAAATACTTTCTTGCTTATATCACAGCCTGATTGTTTCTCACTCAACATAACAACAGTTAACATTTGTGAACCTCTGTGTGTCAGACAGCCTGCTAAGCATACCACATGCTTTACTTCTTTGAAGATACCTGGAAGGTTTTATTATTCCTGTTTTATCAAGGAGGGAACCGAGGTCCAAAGAGCTACTTAATGGGCTTGCCTAAGGTCACACCAGCCATCTGTAGCAGAAGCTGACTGGAGACTTCCTGCCTAGGAAGCCGTGCTCCTGACCCCTCAGGTGCTACTTGTCTGGGCTCGACTCAGGGATTGAAGATGATTCAAATGATCTCATCTGGCCCTCGGACATGCTAGCACTGCAGGCCAGCACGTAGCAGCACTCCCAGGGTGCCGTGAAGCCTGCTCTTTGCAAAGCTGAAGGCTTTTCTGGAGACAGGTAAGCAGCTCGAGAGCAGTGGATTGGCTGTTGATTCTTGGGAATTCTCTCCCCCCAATTCTTTTTTTTAAATATATATATATTAAGATTTATTTATTTATACAAGCACTGGGTACAGTCAGAAACGCGGGGGAGCAGCGGGTGGCAGGAGAGGTCTGCGCACCAGGTGGGACCCTCCTCTGGTGTCCGGGGAGCAGCCGGGGATCAAACCGGCTTCGCAAACCCAGCGCTCAATCGTTGTGCCACCAGAGAGGCCCACCCCCACCCCAATTCTTTAGGAGAAACTGGGGCAGACAATTGAACAAATCCCTTCTCCCTCTCCACCCCACAGCTGCCTTCTCTCCACAAAGGATACCCTTTGCTTTTGGGGATTACTGTCTGTCTAAGGAGACATATGGATATTTTCTTTTCCCAGCTGCAGGAACAGCTACCTAGATGGTTCAGATTCTTGGGGCTTCAGAGATGGGTCATGTCAACAATGATGTCCTTCTAGGATATTAAGGTGTGTAGGGTAAGGTAATGTATCAGGCTTTTCTGCCCTCCCGCCATCAGGATAGATGATGGATCATTGCGGTCCCGAATGCATGCCTGATGGCGGGCACCTGGAGTGGGGTGTGGGCATAGGTAGATGGGATTCACCTGGGCTAAGATTGGGCTTTTAAGGGCGGCGTCACCGGGACGCCAGCAGAAGTAGAGGAGCAGAAGCAGAACGAATGGAGAAAGAAGACCCACGAGAGAACGTGAGAGAAGGCCAGAGAGCCCAGAAAGAGTGAAGACTTGCTGGGGGCTGGGAGGCCTGCCAGCCTCCTGGTCCCCCAGCACCCCTGCCTGCCATGTACCCAGTAAATCCCAGTAAATCCTGCAAAAGCCACTGAGGTCTCCAGGACGCCTTCTTTACCGGGTCTGCTGGATCATAGAAAACCTGCACTGTGGCCCATTCCTGCCCCCTAAAGGTGAGTAGCTGGTTTTTGTTCAGAGCATCCTTCCCACACATGGTGGGTTGGAATAGGATTACCTTATACATGCAAGATAACAATAACATTGGATATTAAATGATCATCATTAAGGACTAACATTTATCAAGGCTTTCTCTTGGCTCTCTGTCAACATGCTGAGCTTTTAATACGCATTGTCTCATTTAATCACCCAAACCACCCTGCAAAATAGCTACTTATTAATTGTGCAACCTTGAATACATTATTTAATCTCATTATACTTCAGTGCCCTCATCAAAAAAAAAAATGGAGATAATAAAACCTGGTGGGTAAGGTGGTCATGAAGACAGGACTTAATAATCTGCATAAGGTGCTTAACCAGCAATAAGACACAGTAAGAGCTCAAACAGTGTGTGTTCTCACCCCCATTTTATAGATCAGGAGTCTGAACCCCCAAAAAATCTTGCTCAAGGTCACAGAGCTGAGATATAAACCTCAGTGTGATGTCTGCTTACCACTCAGCTACACTGTTGCGGCATGAAGGCAATTATCATGTACCCCTCTGGGTTCTTCTAGGTCTGGAAAAGTAATCAAAACAGCACCAGAGGGCTTAGCAAAGGAAAAACGATCATTTTAATAACATATGTATGGCGAATTCACATGGTTGTAAATTCTAAAGAATAACAGAACAGACCAGCAAATTTATCCTGTATTTAGGGAGCTGGGGAATCAAGGAAAGAGAGGGAGAGAAAGACAAGGGGGGGGCTACCTTATAAGAGTAAAGATGAGATTCTTAGATAAAGGATATGTTCACTGATAAACCTGCAACTGGATGAGACCCTCCCAACTACATTCTTCCGGGTATATCTTCTTTAATATTAGTAAAGGGAGAAAGACTCAGATAAGAATAGAAGCTTCTTCTAGACTTCAGGAGCCAACTCTGCTCTCAACCCAAAACAATCTGTATTTTTTAAGCAATGGTAATAGACCTCCTGAGACTCACTTAACCTCTAGTTCTGTTAACAAGTGATAGGAGGCCTACCCTGGGCCTATTGAGAAAAGTCTATCTGACTGTTGGGGAATTAGGAGGCTAATCCCATACCACCTTGCTTACTTAATTGTTGGTTTGATTAAATAAGAAATTATTTAAACTGTGCTTTTTGTTCTCTGACTGGTGACCAATTCAGTTGTTAGAGAGCAGGGCTACAAAGATGAAAGCCAGTTGCTACATGCCTTATTGGGCATCGTGCACCCCACAGGGTGATGGATAGAGGGGTTCGGAGGCAGTGAATGTGTCCATGTGTGCCCATCACTACTATTAGAATTAAGCCAAGTTCTGCTATTAGTTGCTCTAGTTAGGGTGACCCTGCATCCTCATTTGCCCAAGCTGTGCTTGATTTATGTTCGTCTTTCTGGAATAATCATTAACAATGTCTTCTTACTCTCAAAAGTTCTTGGTGTACACGATCAATTCTGTGGCCATCCTACCCACAGTGATCCATCTTTAGCACACAAAGGGTGCCATGTTCTCGTAATCTGTTGGTTCCTTTCCCCTGTGCACATACTGTCAGCAGTTAGCTCTTGAATGCCTCGGTTTTTTCCTTATTGTTGATTGCTTTAAACATCAACCATTTCTCCTTGTAATTCTCCCTACCATACCTCTCCAACTCTTCCTGGTTTCATATTCTCTGCTGAGACTCTGGGGACCCACGGCTGGAGTTCCTACTACTCAGTGGCTAACAAATCACTTTACCTTTCTCCAGGTCCTCGTTCCTCATCTGTAGAGTAGAACTCGAGCCCAGCATCGTGAGGCTGTTTCAGACGATGCTCAGCAAATCTTATTTTATCCCCTTGTGGGACTGAAAAGAGACGATGGAATAGTCCAACAAAGAAGGTAGGAAGCTCTTCCTAATTTTATCCCAGTTGTCTCTGCCTGGTAACAAAAAACTCCATGAAGCATGACAAGGGATCCTTGGATTACGATAGAGAAAACCTTAATAGATTATTTCATTCATCAAGGCTGAGCTTACAGCTCAGGGAAAGCCTATCAGTATGAACTGTGAGCTACAACATGGACCCCTGCTCAGTTACCTGGACACCCTTTAAGAGTGACTGTTACAATCTCATAACCCCCGAGGTGCCCCTACTGCAGCGCTACCAATCGCTGCCTGGTGTCCCAATATGGCGCCCTTGCTCTGGACTTGTCCTTGCAATCTCTGCTGTGCCTCCTCTTGCAGAGAGCTACTCTCTGCTAGCGATCACTGTGAAAGTATGAAAACTGATACTAAGGGTAGTGAACGTGCTGGTTTTGCCTTCCTATTAGCTATCCTCTCTTTTCTTTGTAAGAGCACTTGAAGTTTTCTCTGCTGAACCATCTTTTCCCACTCTTTGGGTGGGGCTGGTCCCACCGCCACACTCCAGCCATTAGCAAGGCACTGGGTCCTCAGCAGTCAGTCACGGTGGTTAGTTTATGGAGACCACATGAGATGATTTGAGCCACTGAGAACCAGGCCAGAGATTTGAGCTGGATGACAGGGCAGGCAACCCTTCCTTTGGGTTGCCAAAAGAATAGGGAGGTGCTTAAAAACAAATCCTTGGGCCTCCCAGTGGCGCAGCAGGTTGAGCGCTGTGCTGTGAAGCTGTCTGCAGCCTCTGCAGCACAGGTTTGATTCCCCGCTGACCACGTAGATTCCCACATGGTGCTGCAGACCTTTCCTGTGTCGCCCACTGCTCCCCTCAGCAGTGCTCTCGGTCTGTCTGCCTCCTCTGTTCCCTACTCTGTCTCTGGTGAATCCTCTCACCCTCCACCACCTCTGGCCTATACCCCAGTTATTGTATAAATAAAAAAATAAATCTTTAAAACAAGACAAAACAAAAAAACCCAATCCTTGTCACCTGAGAAACTCAGAGAAAAACAAAGCTGACAAGTGGATAAAAGATAGATTTCTGATGACTTTCTTTTGTCATCTGACCTAACTGGGCCTGAGGCCAGCCTACCTAAGAGTGAAGCAATTAAATTCTGTTTTATGCTTATACTATTCTGTTTCGATTACTCTCAACCCCTAAAAAGTCTTGCCTCATGCAATAGGGAACTGTGTTATCCCTCTTAAAAGGTTTACATTTTAACAATAGACACATTTCAGCCCAGAATTTTTGTCATGGAATTTCATTTATAGTGTCCAGCTGAGGTGACCAGAATCATTTGAAGTGGGGTTAGGAACTGGAGACATTCAAACTCCACTGAGACTGTGTCATCTGCCCAGTGTAGACACCCGGTTCAAAGGACCTACGCTGTCAGTCCAAAAGAGCTCCTCAGTTGGCTTCAGCCCTGAGGAAACAGCCAGCTCTGTGTGAGCCCTCCTCAGGAGAACGTTGCTCATTGAAATCCACTCAAAGTGCTTGTCCTTATAATCAGCAGTAGCAGCCCCCCACAAAAAAGAATTAGGATTGTTACAGGGCAGGGAGAGGGGCAGCCCAGACCCCGCAAACCTGCCTGCTCTAAATAGGTTCTGCCATCCGCCGCATCAACACGAAACATATGAGACTTTAATGGGAAGGAACTTTAACACAACTAGGAAACAAGACAGGAAAGGCAAAGAATCTAGTTTCTAAATCAAGTACCCAAAGTTACCCATCCCCTCATGGGTAAAAGTCCATCCAAATGAGATTGGCCCAGAGCAAGGCCCCAAAGTCTGCCACAAGTCTAAAGCACCTTCCAGTGGGGACCCACAGAAAAGGGTCAGAAACAACCAGACAAGCCTAGAAGGAAAAGAGCAAAATCAAAATCAAGATAAAAGCTGCCGCTGTCACCTCCCCACGGGTCTCACCCACATCTGTGTCACCCAGTCCACGACCAAAAGGCAAGCGTGGTTTCTTCACGTGTCTCTCGGCCCCATGTGCCTCCTCCAGGTCTCCTTCTGGCTCCATCCTGCTTCCTTCCTTCCTCAGTCTCCTCTGCAGCTTCTTCTCTCCCTGCTCAGTTCCCCCTCCCTTGGGTGGGGCAGGACACCTGGAACCTCCCCCTTTCCTGGGGACCCCCCTGTCACAGGATTACTAAGAGGATCAGCTAAGGTGACAGTGTGTCCTAGAAACATCGCCTGTTATCCCATCTCTGTTTGCTAGCCTGCCCGTGTTTAGCTCCGAGACAGGCAGCTGGACTTTCCAGAAATACAGATTTTTCTGGAAGTTAAAACTGCTCTCCCAGCTGGTGGGGGGAGGGGCCACAAGGAAGATCAGGTCACATAACAGGCCATCCTTTATATTTTCCTTTTCTAAATCAGACTGGCTGTCCTCCTTGTTTTCTTTGAAAGAAGATAATGTTCTGAAGGGAGAGAGAGCGGGCTCCCCACCAGCCTCTCTCTGTGAGTGGGACCCTCTGAAGGAAGCCAGGGAGAGAAACCAAATCAGATCCCAGAGAACCCAAAGAACCCCCATCAAGTGGGTATCAATTACATGCATTAATGGCTGGCAAATGAGTTCAGCCTCAGTTTTTGATCCTTGGGATTGCTGTAAATTGAACTACAAAAATAGCCCCCGAGAACTGGATTCATGTGCAAGTGATTTGTAAAGGAAATGATCTGGGGCAACCAGAGAGAGGGGGGTATCCCTAGGCAAGTGCCATCCCAGGCAAGTCCCAGCCCTGGCCTGATCCCCAGGGGAGCTCTGCAGAGTAGATTGTGCCCAGAGTGTTTCCCACTCTAGGCAGGAGAGCTGGGCTGGCACTTGGCCATCCTGTTAAGGGCATCCTTGGAGGACGGGAGGACACACACTCCCTGGCCCTTCCGGTTCCCACACTTGTGAGCAAGGTGACTTGGTAGGTGGAAGGCAGCTAGGAGCAAAGGCACAGAAAGGGATTGAGATGGCAAGCAGCAGACAGCTATGGTAGAAGGGTGTGTTGGGGTAAAGAGGAAATCATCCTACCCCTCTGGGGTCTTCTAGGCTGGCATCATCCCCTAGGTTGGCATAATCCGACAAGCATCAGACAGGCTGGTAAGAGAAAAGATCATAAAGACTTTGAATATAGCATGTAAACCTGTATACATGGAGACACCCAGTACAGCTGAGAAACTCACTCAAGTGGCTTCAGACACCGTCTGAAATTGCTTCGCTAAGACCAAAGGACTTTGGGCGGGCAGAGGGTAGAGGTCAGTTAGGGAGTTTACAGGGGATGGCCCTGCAGACAAAGGTATGCAGATTAAGTTCTGTCTGCTCTGGTGAAAAGTGATAAGGAGATAAGGTCTTCCCTCTACACACCTTTACAGAAGTTTACTTGGAAAAGTCCTTTTTATTTTTTTAATGCTTATTTATTTATTTTTTTAAATATCATTATCATTGTGACATCCTGCAGGGTAGCCTGCACCCAGACTTCAGAGTTCCTCCTATGACATCAGACTTCTTTCAAAAAGACATTTTGGGGCCTCCCTTGTGGCACAAGGGGTTAAGACACAACCTATGAAGCTGTCTGCAACCACTGCAGCACGAGTTCGACCCCTGGCCAGGGAGCTACCCACATGGCGCAGCAGCCCTCTCCTGTCTCACCCGCTGCTCCCCTCAGCAGTGTATTTCAGTACATCTGCCTGTTCTGTTCCCCACTCTGTCTCTGGTGAATCCTCTCACACACACCCCCACACACCTCTGGCCTGTAACCCCATTCTTGTATGCATAAATAAGTAAATCTTAAAAAAAAAAAAGACATTTTGGGGGTGGCAGGTTTTTGGTCCCTTTCATGTGCCACGTATTTGGCATGGACATCAACCATGCTTAGCAAAAACATCACAGAAGACCACAAAATGCGGGGCTCATCCCTCTGGGGCAGATGAACCGATCCATAAAGACATCCTTCCTTTCTTTGAGATCCTCCATTCTCTACCATCCCTCCATCCACACTCCATGCACACAATCCACCCCTTCCCCACTGAGTTCTGCCTTCATGACAAAGCTGAATTAAGGAGACTCTTTCTCCTGACCATTTGGTTGGGGAACTGAGATACTTATATTCAGGCGAGTCGTTGGCCTGGACAGGGTGTTGTGTGGACTTAGAAGTGAGAGCATCAGCTCTGTGAAGTGGCCAGGCTTGGACACAGGCCCAGTAAAGCAGAGAAACCACTCCACAGAGACAGAAGGGTATATAACCAGATTAATAGCGAATAAATATTAGGCGCTGACTAAGCACCAGGCACTGTTTTCACAGGAATGAGCTCATCTGATCCTCCCCACGGCCCTAGAGAGTAGGAATGACATCTATTTTCATCCAATGTCAAGGTCACTCAGGTCTCCAAGGTCATCCAGCTTGAAAAGGTGCAGCCAGGATTCAGTCCTCCAGTTTAACTGTAGAGCCACATGTTGTCCACAAGGCTAGGAGGGCAGCTGAGCCCTCAGAAACCCAGAGGAAATTTTGTGCAAATGAAGACCAGGATAAGCTGACCATTGGCTGCCCTGTGCCTGGGGGTGGCCCTCCTCCCTCAGACATCTACTTGAAACATCTGCCCTATAATCCATAATAAATACCTGTCCCTCACCTTAAAAACAAATCTTAGGCTGTGTTTATAGTGGATTTTATTTCTTGCAACTAAGAGACTCAAGGAGGACACCTGCTTTTGATAAAATGAGAAAGAAACTAAAATTTGTTTTTGCTTCTTTCCAACTCCCCAGATTCCCTTTTGTGTCCTCAATCTCCAGATTGCAAGCACAGGCTTCTACCATGGTGAGAGTCTCAGGTCGGAATAAGCAGTGCCTGGAGGACGTGATGTTAGCAGCTGGATGGCCTAGAACTTCTCTCCAGTCCCACCTTTGGGTGCTCTGCGTGCGAATGAGCAAATCCCCTCTTTCCCCAAGAAAGCGTAACTTCTTTAGGTGCAGGTGAAACAGAGGAGAGACAGGAGGGGCCCCAAACTCTAAGAATTGTCAAAATTTCAAAGAGATCACGCTTTGGGTTGTACATAGAAAAAGTCACTGTAGTTTTTTTTTTTTTTCTTCCAAAAACTGTAAGAAGGGCCAGCCCAAGTGTGCTCTGTCCAACAAGAGCAATATGGATGATGGAAGAGAAAAAACACAAAATAGGTAACTGCATTTATAGTTTAAGTTATAACATTTTGTTCCAATAACAGTCATATTCTACAGCCATAGGAACAAATATAATTTCCAGTACAAACACATACTACAAAATTTATAGATGATTAAACAAAACTTTGTTCAGAATTATTAAATAGAGGTAAGTTGTAATAATGATTATAAAACATAAAATGTACATAGATCTACATTTGCGTAAGATCTTCATTGCTTCTCTAGCCACTGTGCTGACAATACCATAGATGTAATACATGCAGACTAGTATAGAGACATGCAAGGAAAATATGTGATACTCATTGGAATGTAAATATTTTCTAATCTTTTCCTTATCTTTGCTGAGCAAGAAATCATCAACAGAACATTCACATTCCTCGAGAACCCATGCCAACAATTATTCAACCCTTGACATCAAAGATAATTGTAGCTTATATCTCTAAACTTAAGTGTAAAGAAATAAATCTGAAATTTCTGATGTTCAGAATTGAAATCACAAAACAACGCCTTGGCAGAAGATGACTTTAAATTGTTGTAAAAGCCAAGAAGAGAGACATGGTTTTGTCACTGGGCTTAGCCACAGATGGCGCAGGTCTGACGCCATTGCAGTTATTCTCTCTGCTTCCATCACACAGCCCCCCAATCCATCAGCACAGACACTCTCGCTGAGCTGGAGGGAGCCTCAGAACTCTTCAATGCAGCCTTCCAGGAAGCCGTGATTAAGCTGTTGGCGGTGGCATCGATTTACCATCTGCATCTGTCTGTGTTTTTTGTTGCAAATTACAGGATCTTCTGGTTAATTTATGCAGAAGGGGAGTTATGAATGGCTACTAACCCTTCATAAAATCACCAGGACGACTGCAGGACATAAACTAGCTGAAAAGAAATGATTGACCAAGGGCACCATTGCCGGAAGCTCTACCTATCTGCCATGATGAGGAAGGGGCAGAGACTCCAAGCTGCCAGGTCCCTGACGCCTTTAGAATAATGAAGACCCCGACCTTCCTTTCCTGCCCCATCCACCCTGACATCTTCCGTTCCATTCGGAATATCCCTATCAGTTTCCTGCCACAGCCTTTCCTCATGTGACTCTTTGGCCTGGAGTACGTTTTTCTCATTCTCCCTTTATATTTTGCCCATATTTCAAGGTGTTGGGATACCCAGGGGCCCCCAAACTTGCACACTCTAAAAGAGGGTCCTGCCATCAGCTGCATAAAGACAAAAGCAACTCTGAGTGTGAAAGATCTTTAATAGAATTAGTGTGCATAGAAAGAAAGAAGAAAGGATATTATTTCTCAATAACCACCCCCACACACACAAATTACCCATCTCCTCTTGGACAAATGCCAATCAAAATGAGTTGGTCCAAAGTGGGGCTGCTGAGGCCAAAAGCTTGTCACACGTTTAAGGCACCTTCTTGCAGAGAACTAAAGTAAAAGGGTGAAATGGCCAGGCAAGTCTGGGATAATTGGAGAGAGTGACACAAAAATACAAATCAAGATAATGGCTGCCATTGTTAGCCATGCTCTGTATCTCATGTGTCTCTTCCAAGTGTCTTTACATATCTCTACTCAATGTGTCGCCTCCCAGGGCTCCCTCCCAGCAGTAACAGGTGCAAGTTGTGATACAGGGCAGCGAGAGGGGCACCCCAGGCCCCGCAAACCTGCCTGCTTTAAATAGGTTCTGCCGTCTGCTACATCAACACAAAATGTATAAGACTTTAATGGAAGGAACTTTAATACAATTAGGAAACAATACAGGAAAGGCAAAGAGTATAGTTTCTAAATCAAGCACCCAAAGTTACCCGTCCCCTCGTGGGTAAAAGTCCACCCAAGCAGGATTGGCCCAGAAAAAGGCCCCAAAGCCTGCCACAAGTCTAAAGCATCTTCCAGTGGGGACCCACAGAAAAGGATCAGAAACAACCAGACAAGTCTGGGAGGAAAAGAGCAAAAGCAAAAGCAAGACAAAAACCACCATTGTCACCTCCCCACGGGTCTCACCCACATCTGTGTCACCCAGTCCAGACCAAAAGGCAAGTGCAGTTTCTTCATGTGTTTCTCTGCTCCATGTGCCTCCTCCAGGTCTCCTTCTAGCTCTCCATCCTGCTTCCTTCCTTCCTCAGTCTCCTGTGCAGCTTCTTCTCTCTCTGCTCAGCTCCACCCTCTTTTTGGGTGGGACAGGAAACCTGGAACTTCCTCTTTCCTGGGGACCACCCTGTTACAGTTGGACCTCAGGAATGAGAATCCTTCTCTTAAAACCCCCTCCTGCTTCATGTTACATAGCTTCACTTGGCCACTCAACTCCAACCCTCATTCCTAGTAGCTAGTCCATGGTGGCTGCCTCTAAGTGGAGGTGGGAACATGGTATCTCCCCTTACAAAGGTGTAGCTCAAATGCCACCTCCTCCTCAAACCTGCCCGAATTTCCTCTTTTTGTCAGAATTGGTTTTCTTTCTTTTAGGCTCCTAAATGACTTCATGCTGCTCCTCTAACATCTTCCACATTGGATCTGGTAAGAGTTACTCATGCATCTATCTACATCCTCCAGTGTATTTGAAGCCCTCCAGGGCAAACCCATGAATTATTCACCTTTGTATGCCCTGTGCTTACTACCTTTAAAAAAATCTGAACCCCTGGGCTGCTTGGATGACTTCCTTCAAACTGGCTGGGCAGTTTCCAGGAGTCCAGGGCCCTGGGCACAAAAGATTCCTTATTGATGCTTTTTTTTATCTTCCTTTAATCTCTTTCCCTCCATCCTAAAAATACAAAACAATCCATGTCATCTCAATCAGATACATATCTCTTTAAGAACTAGCTTCATGAAACTTTAGAGACTGTATGGTTTTATAGCTTAAGTTTAAAATATAATCCTTGTTATGCTGTTTGCTCAACCATAAAACATAATGTTTCAAGCATTACCGGAAAACACATTTATATGTGAAAAGTCTGATTCGTGGTGACTTGTGAATGTAGAAAAAGCCTGAACTAGGAATCAGAGAAACTGAGTATTAATATTATCTCAGGAACTAACTGGTTTTGTGCTGTTGACATTCATTCTCTAAATATTTATTTTCTCATCCAAGAAATGACAAGTCGGGGAAGGGATATCTGAGGACTCTCTAGATCTGAAGTTTTGGGAGATTCTATGTTTGTTTGGTTTTTGTTTGTTTACTTTGGATTCTCTCTACAGTTTACTTAAGGTAAACAGAAGAGAAATTGCCTTTGAATCATGGAGACTTTTACCCCCTTCTCTTCTGACAAGGCTGGGAGGGTCTAAATCCAATGAAGTTAAGATGAAAAAAAAAGAGAGTTGGATTTTCTAAACCTGAATTTAATAAGGAAATATTTCTCTCCACCTGGATATCCCCAAGGAAACCACCACAAAGTTGTAACAGATCACTGCTTCCACATTTGTCTTCATTCTAAATTCAGGCTGCTCCACTGGGCAGGTGGAGTCAACCAAGAAAACAGACCTCACACCTGTCCCCACTCTGCTACATAAAGGTAACTCTGTGCTACTGATGTGCATCACTCACTATTTGCATAAGAAATTAAAAATCTTAAAATATCTGGGCCCTTAATCACAGAATAAAATAAGACTCTATAATGATGTCTTATAATGACTAAATTTAGAGGACTCTTAGGACAGGTATTGAGAGGCTAAATTAACAACCTCGAGTCCAACTACTGTTATAGTGACTCTTGTATCTATTTCTCTGGGTAATGGCTGGGTCTCTACCTTCTGGAGTTTAAACTCAATACATAGACACTTTTTTTTATGTGCCTAGGTGGTCAGTCCTTCAAACTGGACTCCTGGGGTGTCCTCTCCAGAATACTCCTTTACCTCTTTCTTTCAGCAAATCAATGGTCAATTCTATTGGCGAAGGTCCCACATGGCGCAGCAGACCTCTCCTGCCGCCTGCTGCTCCCCTCAGCAGTGTATTTCATCAGTCTGCCTGTTCTGTTGCCCGCTCTGGCTCTGGTGAATTCTCTCACCCTCCCGCGTTTCTGACTGTACCCAGTGCTTGTTTAAATAAATAAATAAATCCTTAAAAAAAAAAGGCAACAACAGATTATATTATATCAAACTAAAAAGTGAGGCACAGTAAAAGAAACCATCATCATAACAAAAATGCAACCCACTGAATGGAAGAAGATACTCACAAATCATACATCAGAACAGGGATTAATATGCAAAATATGTAAAGAACTCATACAACTCAACAATGACAAAAAGAACAAGCAATCTGATTTAAGAATGGGCAGAATAGACACTTGAATAGACACTTGTCCAAACGCACAGAAATGGTGTCTGCCATCTCTTATTATCAGAGAAATGCAAATCAAAACCACAATGAGACATCACTTCACACCTGTGAGAGTGATTATTATCCAAAAGATGAGAAACAAGAAGTGTTGGAGAGGTTGTGGACAATAGAGAACCCTTATTGACTCTTGGTGGGAATGTAAATTGGTGCAATCATTATGGAAAACAGTTTGGAAACTCCTACAAAAGTTAAAAATAGCAATCCCATATGATCCAGCTTTCCCACTTCTGGGCATTTATCCAAAATATACAAAATATTTATTGAAAGAGATAAATGCACCCTATGTTCACTGCAACATTTTTCATAAGAGTCAAGAGTTGGAAACAACACAAGTGCCCATCAGCAGATGAGTAGATAAGGAAGATGTGGTGGATATATACACAATGGGATATACTCAGTGATAAAAAGATGAAATCCTGCCATTTGCAGCAGCATGGACAGACCCAGAGGGTGTTATGCTAAGTGAAATGAGTCAGATGGAGAAAGACAAACACCATATGACTTCACTCATGTGGCTCATAAACAAAAACAGACGAATAAACAAAACTCTGT